CCATATGACCGAAGTGGACAAAATTTCCAATGGTGTAGATGACATCAATCTTTCTGCAGTTGTTTCCGAGGCAAATCTTGTCGGAAATCCCAAAGAATGGTAGGTGGACACTGGTGCTACTCGCCATATTTGTGCCGATAAAAAGATGTTCACATCTTATTCTACAGTGGACAATGGTGAACAACTTTTTATGCACAACTCCTCAACTTCCAAAGTTGAAGGAAAAGGAAAGATTGTACTCAAGATGACATCAGAAAAGGAACTCACTCTCAACAATGTGCTGCATGTACCAGACATTCGCAAGAATCTTGCTTCCGGATCTTTGTTGAGTAAGAATGGGTTTAGGGTAGTATTTGAGAGTGATAAATTTGTACTTACTAAGAATGGAATGTACGTAGGAAAATGTTACATGTCTGATGGCCTTTTCAAGTTAAATGTAATGACCGTTGTACCCTCAGTTATTAATAATACTACATTTTCTTCTTACTTGCTTGAGTCTTCAAATTTATGGCATGGTAGACTAGGACATGTTAATTATGGATCTTTGCGTAGATTAATTAATATGGAATGTTTACCTAAATTTAACATTGATTCAAATCATAAATGTGAAATTTGCATTGAGGCAAAATTATCTAAAACTCCTTTTCATTCAATTGAAAGAAGTACGGAACCACTTGAATTAATTCATAGTGACATTTGTGATTTTAAATCAATTCAAACAAGAGGTGGGAAAAAATATTTTACCACTTTTATAAATGACTATACTAGATATAGTTATGTTAATTATAATTCGAACCAATGATGAAGCTTTGGAAACTTTCATTCAATATAAGAATGAAATTGAACATCAACTTGGTAAGAAAATCAAGAAACTTAGAAGTTGTAGAGGTGGTGAATATGAATCACATTTTTGGTGAGTTTGTAAAGAACATGGAATAATTCATCAAACCACTGCACCTTACTCACCTCAGCAAAATGGAATTTGCTGAAAGGAAAAATAGGACTTTAAAAGAAATGATGAATGCCTTGTTAATAAGTTCTGGATTACCTCAGAACTTGTGGGGGGAGCAATACTTTCTGCTAATTATATTTTAAATAAAGTACCTCGAAAGAAAGTGAATCAAACACCTTATGAAAGTGTGGATGGTAGAGTACCATCCTACAAAACTTAAAAGTGTGGGGTGTTTTACTAAAGTGCTATTTCCTAGTCCTAAAAAGACTAAGATAGGTCCTAAGACCATTGATTGCCATTTCATTGGTTATGCCAAGAATAGTAGTGCATATGGGTTTTTGATTCATAAATCAGAACATTCCGAAATGCATGTAAATACTATTATTGAATCTCGGAATGCATCTTTCTTTGAACATGTATTTCCAAATAAGACTGGACAAGAGACTAGTAACAATAAAAGATCTCATAATGCTATTACTAGTCAGGATCAAGAACATGATCAAAAACAAGAGTTAGATCAAAATGAGGTAGAGGAACTTAGGCGTAGTAAACGTGCTAGAACCTCAAAATGTTTTGGTCCAGATTTTCTAACATATTTGTTAGAAAAATGAGCCTTTAACTTTTAAAGAGGCTATGTCCAGTCCTGAAGCTCATTTATCGAAAGAAGCTGTCAACAGTGAAATTGAATCCATCTTGCAAAATCACACTTGGGAATTAGTGGACTTGCCACCAGGTTGTAAACTTCTTGGGTACAAGTGCATTTTCAAAAGGAAAATGAAAGTAGATGGATCAATTGACAAATACAAGGCAAGACTTATGGTCAAAGGTTTTAGACAAAAAGAAGGTCTTGATTACTTTGACACATACTCACCGGTTACTAGAATAACATCCATTAGAATGCTAATTGCCATTGCATCTCTATAATTTAGAAATTCATCAAATGGATGTTAAAATCACTTTCTTAATTGGTGAGTTAGAGGAAGAAATTTACATGGATCAACTAGAAGGGTTTTCTGTTCCAGGGAAAGAAAAGAAAGTGTGTAAATTGGTTAAAGCATTATATGGTTTAAAACAAGCACCAAAGCAATGGCATGAGAAATTTGACAAGGCAATGATGTCAAATGGATTTAAAATTAATGAGTGTGACAAATGTGTTTATATTAAAAACACAAACAAAAGTTATGTCATTGTATGTCTTTATGTAGATGATATGCTCATCATAGGTAGTAATAATGATATGATTAAAACTACCAAGAAAATGTTGAATAAACATTTTGACATGAAGGACATAGGCATTGCTGATGTAATTCTTGGTATGAAAATTACCAAAACATCAGAAGGATATGCTTTGTCACAATCTCATTACATTGAGAAAATACTTGACAAATTCAACAAAGATGATGATCATCTTGCTAGAATACCTGTAGATGTTAATTTGTATCTTTCTAAGAATGTACAGGAAAGTATTTCTCAATTAGAGTATGCCCAAATTATTGGAAGCTTAATGTAATTGATGAACTGCACTCGCCCAGATATAGTTTATGCAGTAAGTAAATTAAGTAGATATACGAGTAATCCGGGAATAGAACACTGGAAAGCTATTATAAGGGTTCTAAGGTATCTTCGATTTAATCGTAATATTGGGCTGAATTATACTAGATATCCAGCAGTACTTGAAGGATACTGTGATGCAAATTGGATATCGGATACAAGAGACTCAAAGTCCACCAGTGGGTATGTCTTTACTCTTGGTGGGGCGGCTGTATCTTGGAAATCTTCCAAACAGACTTGCATTGCTAGGTCTACTATGGAATCAGAATTCATAGCTTTAGACAAAGCATGAGAAGAGGCAGAATGGCTTCGCCACTTTCTTGAAGATATTCCAATATGGCCAAAACCGGTGCCTGCTATATGCATACACTGTGATAGTCAATCAGCTATAGGTAGAGCATAGAGTCATATGTATAACGATAAGTAACGACACATTCGTCGTCGACATAACACCGTAAGACAACTACTCTCTAATGAAATTATTTCCATAGAATATGTTAAGTCTAAAGACAACATAGCGGATCCACTAACCAAAGGGTTAACAAGAGAGTTAGTTAAGAATTTATCGAGGGGAATGAGAATTAAGCCTATTACATAAGAGTTACCACAACGGCAATCCAACCTACTTGACTGGAGATCCTAAGATCTAGGTTCAAAGGGCAACCGAGTTGTGAATGACTCAGAAGGATCACTGGGGAGTTAAACTCCTACCCATTTCTATGATGAAATAGTAATGACTGCAGCATTTAAGGTTAAGTAAAATTTTCATGATTCTTATATTTAGGTAAACCTAGTGGAGTATGGCAGGATACTCTTCATAAGCATCACCTATATGAGTGTGAACTGGGCCGTTCTATGAGATTTGTGAAGGGCTACAATTCTCTAGAACACTCATGAAAGACCAGGTTGTTCAGGGCCAAAATGAACACAATAGTGAGAACTAAACTGTGTCTGGGAATATACTGTGTGAGTTCTATTGTTTTGGTTTATGTTTTGGTCCAGATTTTCTAACATATTTGTTAGAAAAATGAGCCTTTAACTTTTAAAGAGGCTATGTCCAGTCCTGAAGCTCCTTTATGGAAAGAAGCTGT